GTAGTCCAACATCTGGGGGGCAACACATTGATTACCTTGGTCTATTTAGTCAAAATCTGAACATGACAGCTTTCCTTATGATTCCATAGAATGACTTCCCGTTTTAAAATGGTGCTAGTATTCAACCAAATTGCGACATTTGCTTGGATAGCATATTGAGCAATTCATATTGTGGTGTCTCAGTGCAAGCACATTTGGGGTGGGTGTGGGGATATTCAAAGCTTTTTAAGAAAAAAATCCAAACCTGATTCACATACAAGACAAATACAGTGATTGCAAATGGAAAACTACAGTCACACTTATGGGGCCCATTCAGATTTTCAATGCTTGAGTGGCCTGAGCCACAGCCATGTAGCAGAAGCATTCCTGTGACGGTGTCTTCATTTTAGACACGTCTTTTTACTTCTTCATTTCAAGTGTGTATTTTGGTGGATGTCAAAGATTAGTATTTATTTGTGCTGTCACGTGTTCAGAGCACTTTACAGCAACCCTGTAAAGTAAGTTAGCTTCATTATCCTTACCTTGCATGAGGCAGAATGCAGGCTGAGATTCAGGTGAGACTCGGGTCACTTCTAGAAACCCAGTTTGTCCAGGATTGTACCTGATTTGTTTGTAGGGAGGTTATATGACAGTGACTGTTTATTAAGCATGCATTCTGATCTTTTTGAAGGGAGGTTAAATGATGTTGCCTCTGAGCAAGCAGGTATGTTGTGGATGACATCTCAATCAACTGTAATTGTGCAACCTGAATTTGCCGTTATGTGATTGAATCCTGAAAATAGCGACCATCTGGAAGCATCAGCAACTGAGATTTGAACTGGGCAGAACTCATATTCTCAGCTGATACAGTAGATTTGGTCTTAGTGAGACTTGGTTTTAGCCTCTTCATCTACAATGCTTACTTTTTAAGGGAAAATGTGCAAAGAAACAGCTCTGTTTCACTATCTTGTGCTTAGAAAATGCATTTATCTCGCCCCCACCCATTTCAGTTGTTGGTAACGTTGGGACGTTTTGCCTTCTGTTTATCAAAAACATCTGCCATTTGGACATTTCCTTTCAGATACCCATTCACAGCTTATCATGGAAAGGAGCATATGCCAGCCACTTTCAAACTATTGTTTTGGTCTTTTGTTTGCCTATCCATTAAGCATGCTGGACTTTCATCTTTCTCCCATCCTTTCACTTTTCACTATGGTCATAATAATCAAGCATCTGTCAGTCTTTCTTGGCTATTCTTAGAAAAAGAGCCACATATAAACTGATAATGTGTGCTCAGATTTTATCCTCCTGATTTTTAATAATTCTGGCTTTGTTGCAATGCAATATGAAAACCAAGAAGAATATTGAGTAGTTCCAGTAGATTTTGAATTAGATGCATGAGAAGGGGACTCATTGTGGTATTTATTTTTTTTAACCAGATTATGCTCAAAATGGGACAATAACATATTTTTGAACTGCTTAGAATTTTTTTAAAAATACTAAGCAATATATAAAAATACTTACTTTTCCTGTTTAGTTATGTGTATTATTTTCTGTGTGTACACACACACACACACACTATAAAATAGGATTTTGGTACATGAAAGAGTTTAAACAAGTAAAATATAAACTACTGGGTTTTTACTTTCAAATGTTTATAAACCCTTCACCAATGTCAAATGATAAAAAACAGGTAGATTCTTCTACCACAAAAAGCAGACCAAACACTTGGTTATTAAATATGAAAGGTAAATACGTGGAGTCATCCACATTGTATTAATCATCTCAAGACCCTCTGAGCCTTTTAGTAACCTGGACTCCAGATCTTCTAGTTATATTCTGCATTTCTCCACAGTTCAAATATATGTCATTCTTTTACTTGTTCGGCATACGCCTTTTAAACCATGAAGTATTAATCATGAGTAGTGATCCTGAATATTCCAATATATTATTGGACTAATAATGATTGTATTATATTGTGCTCATGTAAGCTCTGTGTGGGTTTAGTTCAGCTAAAACTTGCAAAGATTTAAAGTGAGCAAAATTTATTTAGACAAAACCTCAGTTTCAACAGGCCAAATCAATTGCCCGTAAGGATGTACAGTGGTACCTAGGGTTAAGTACTTGATTCGTTCCAGAGGTCCGTTCTTAACCTGAAACTGTTCTTAACCTGAAGCACCACTTTAGCTAATGGGGCCTCCTGCTGCCGCCACGTTCTTATCCTGAAACAAAGTTCTTGACCTGAAGCACTATTTCTAGGTTAGTAGACTCTGTAACCTGAAGCATATGTAACCTGAAGCGTATGTAACCCGAGGTACCACTGTAATTGCAGATGTAATCTGTTTGAACAAATGGAACAAATAATTCTTATTTGCAAACTTTGCAGTCAGGCAGTCTAAAAACGTTCCTGCAATCCACCCAAGTGTTGGATGCTTCAGTTGAGCTCTCTCCTTTCGTCCCAAAGTCACTGTGCATCTGCAACTAATGGCAGCATATTAAATATAGCTTGAAGGACCTATTCCTGGCATCAGAGTACAAACACAACAAATAATACAAGATATACAAGAACTGATTCCCCCATTCCCTAGCTAATTTGTGTGTGTGTGTGTGTGTGTGTGTGCATGCGCGCACACACACACACACACACACTACTTTAGTTTACTTCATACAAGATAAGGGCCCAGAACTTTTATACAGCTTCCACAAGAGACCAAAGCTATAAGAATATCACACAGGTATTTGCAAAAAGAATATCACACAGGTATTTGCAAAGAATGATTATCTCTCATCTTCCCAGTCATAAACCCATTAAGGCGTCAGACCTTGACAAAGGTTAGAAGTTTATAGTTTTGTTGCTTCCAGGAAAATGTTACGGCTGTCGGTGACCCCGAGTTCTGTGGTACCTGTGAGCAAAATGCTGCGCATAGTTGTCATTCCGTACAAAATTGTCAGTCTTGGGAATTGCTGGGGGGACCACGAGCAAGCGCCGTGATATGTACTTCTGCAAGACTAGTCTTGCCGGGAAGAGAACCGCAGAAGCGGTCGGCAGATTTGTTTTGGCTTTAATTTGGTAATGCAAATTTAAATACCCCTCTCTCTCTTTTTTTAAGCAGCTGAGACTATTCAGAGAAATTAATTAATTCAAAATAATAGATTGACGGGTATCTCAAATCCTGCTGGCAGGCACCTCTAAAACAGGGAGTGCCCAGATGTAAGTGGTAAGAGGCAAATGGGGGCAAATGGCTTAAGACCAGAGCCTAATCTGTAGGCCTCAGAGCTCATTTTTGGCACAGAAAGGAGTAGGGGTGTGCAGTGTCAGCAACAGTTTGTAGGCTGCATTGGATTGGTATAATTATTAGAAATCTGGCCTGCTTTTGGATGGCCAGCCGAGTCCTCCCCCCCCCTTCCTACTCCCATAATGGTATCAATGCAGTTCTGATAGCAAACACACCCACTGGTTGTGTGCATATTTCTGTATCCAGTGTGCTCTCATTGATGGTTTGGGAAGCAGTGTACACATGATGTTAGGCACAATCCACATCCGTCCTGTAGTTTCTTATGAAATACAGTGGTACCTCGGGTTACATATACTTCAGGTTACAGACGCTTCAGGTTACAGACTCCACTAACCCAGAAATAGTACCTCAGGTTAAGAACTTTGCTTCAGGATGAGAACAGAAATTGTGCTCCGGCGGCGCGGCAGCAGCAGGAGGCCCCATTAGCTAAAGTGGTGCTTCAGGTTAAGAACAGTTTCAGGTTAAGTACGGACCTCTGGAATGAATTAAGTACTTAACCCAAGGTACCACTGTACTGTGTTTAGATAGAACTGATAGTAAAAGTGACTTAGGAACCTAAGGAGACAAAAATAAGTGCTAAAGTCACAGGGATGCCATTTATGAGTACGTTGCATAAGGCACTCATATATAAGCTACCTGTTGAATATCTCTCTCCTCTCCTCTCCTCTCCTCTCCTCTCCTCTCCTCTCCTCTCCTCTCCTCTCCTCTCCCCTTCCATCTCCATTTTATTATACATCCAGATGCTTTGGTTAACAACCTTGAATTATTGTATTTTCTTTCTTGGTTTTGGGTGGAGGTTGGTAGGTGTGTTTTGAGGTTGTTTTTGTAGCTTGTTTGATTTCAATATTTATTTTTAAGCTTTATTGAACAAAATTAATTTTAAAAACCTGCAACATAATTTTATTATTATTATTGAAGGGTTCAAAACTTTTATGTGTGAATGAATTCTAATTACTAATCAAATTACTAATTACTAATTAATTACTAATTAAAGTAAGTGACATGCTGAAAAAAGGCTAAATATTATTATTTATTAGGCTTTTCAGACCCACCCTTCTTTCCACAGCGGCTCAAGGCAGAACACAGCAATAACAAAATACAGTCATAATAAAACCATCGTTAAAATAGCAACTAAAACCTGTACTGTATCAACATTCAAAAACCTGAAGCAGCAGACTCAATAACACTTGAGTTGATGGATTCGTCATTATATATCTTCGTTATATAACTATTTGTGCTTTTACCTTGTATTATTATCTTGTGGTCTTGTATTATTGTATTATTACCTTGTATTATTATCTTGTGATGAAGGATGGCATATTAATAACAACAACAACACCACCACCACCACCACCACAAGTGACGCCACTGTAGCACAGATCCCCAGCTCACAGAGCCACTGTAGGAGGATAACATGATTTATGGAATTGAGCACCTCTGAAAAGTCTGGGATAATCAATAGGATAGCACCCCCACCCTCATCCTTCTCATGATAACGATAATCAATTACAGCAACCAAAGTAGCACCCAGGTCTGAAGTGAGGTAGAAATGGGTTTAGATAATTCACCATTCAGACATGCCAGCAACTGGCAGCCAGCACTCAATATTACAGCGCTATGTTTGAAGTATGAAATATAAGTGACCTCTTGCTAAAACAAAAGAGATATTGTGGCTTTTGTAATTGATAACTACAAACTTTCAGCTTTTGTTCTCTCTCTTTTCAGCATTTTCAGATTAATTCCTTCAAGATAGCATATCAGAAAATTAGTTCCTCTGGTGCTTGCGTCAAGGGCTAAGAAAAGTGGCCTTCCGTCGAAGCCTTCACCCAAAGGCTGGAGAGAGTAAGTATTTCCGTAGAACTACTTTGATTTGTTCCAACAGGACTCTGCAGCCTGTGGCAATAAACTAGGGGTTGCCATCCATCTGCCCAGTGGCCTCCAGATGAAAGAGAAATAGCCATAGTGGTGGAATGCCAATTCTGACATTGCACCAAACTAGTAAGAAGAAACAGCTGTTTGCCAATCCTCTTCACACCATGGTTTGTCAGTTCAGATGTCACATTAAACTGGGAATGGCAAACCCATATCTGGCCTTCAAAGCCATTTCCAGTCGTCCATTTCCTATAGACGTTCTTCCCTGTTTCCTGCATTCTTGAACCTTTCTAGCAATGGGGCAGTGCCAGAGAGAGGAGAAGGGCCTTTTCTTTCCTTCATATTGCGGTGTTGGGCTGAGAGGAGAGGTTCCTTTCCTTTGAAACTAGTGCCACAGGGTGGGGAGGGAAGTGGAAACTCCGTCCCTTGCTCTTCAGAGATTGCATTTCCTCTTCTGGAACCAACTAGAACTTTCTACTTTGGCAACCAGAGGGAAGATAATCAGTAGCCCATTCCCTCCAACATTTCTCCGATGAAAATAGGGACGTCCTAAGGAAAAGCAGGACATTCCAGGATCAAAAAAGAAGCCTTCTGTAAAGCCTTGCTCAGGCCTTCTCCTTCGTAGACCTTGATGCCATTTATGTCGCTACTGCCAAAACCAGCAGTCTCACGACTACTTCTCCTCTTCCCCTCCCCACACTTCTCTCCTCCCAGCCCAGAATGATGCCTAGTAATTTGAGATATGACCTGACCACATTGTAAGTTTCTCTGCTCCCACAAACTGTGGCCAATGAGTAGGGGCAGGAAGTTTGATCGACAGCGTGTCATACACTTTTGATTAGTAGACATCACAGGGAAGTCAATGGGGAGAAATGGTGCTCCTTCAGTCAACTGCCCGGCAACCCTTCGCCATGTTCATTCCAGCCTTAGCAAGTTTGCCTGCTGCAGAGAGGCCATGGCTGCTTTCCAGCTGCTGCAGCATCTACTTTTAAAGGAGTCTGATTTGCATTAGGAAACTCTGGTGCAAGATGTGGGATAATTACATCAAGGAAAGAGCAGGAACCTCTTTAGGACTGATTCCTGTCCTAAAATATTTAAACGGCCAAGGGGGAGGAATTAGAGCAATTCAGATATTCTGCCTTAGTACCACATGCTTCTCGTTTGAAGGGTCCCAACCAAAATCTCCAGTCCTTGATGATGCTAAAAGCCCGAGAGAGAGCCAGTTAGTGGGTGTTAGTGGGAAGAGTGGTGGGTGTGGACTGAGGAGCCCTGGCTTAAATCCTCTGTCACTTGGGAAATAATTACTATTTTTCAGTGTACAATATACCTTGGGTCAAGAACTTAATTGGTTCTGGACGTCTGCTCTTAACCTGAAACTGTTCTTAACCCGAAGCACCACTTTAGCTAATGAGGCCTCCCGCTGCTGCCATGCCGCCCCCACGCAATTTCTGTTCTCATCCTGAAGCAAAGTTCTTAACCAGAGGTACTATTTCTGGGTTAGCGGAGTCTGTAACCTGAAGCGTATGTAACCTGAAGCGTATGTAACCCAAGGTACCACTGTAACCTACTTCAGAGCATGTTTGTTGAGGATACGTGAGATACTTGAAGAAGGATAACGTGGCATGTTTGCTTTAGGGATTTTTTTGCCTGGGCCTGTTTCCTACCTGAACTCGTAAGTAGCAGCATTCATGAAATAACAGTTTTGTCACTTTCGGGATTTTGGGTGCATGTTGTTAGGGAACATGGCTTTGTCTGGCACTGTGGGCTAGTGGTCAAGCTGTAGGTGGGCTGTGAGACGTAAGACTACAGGTGAAGGAATCACTTGATGATTGAAGGCTCTCTCTACTCTGAAGATGGAGTGGGAAGGCGTGTACCCCTCATCTCGCCCTGGAGGAAACCATGGGGCTTGAGGGGCTCAATGTCCGAACAAGCCCTAAGTGGAATTCCAGGCAGTTCCTAAAATTGTTGGCAACTGATAACGATAAAATGTCTGTGTTGTAGGATTCTTCTTTGAGAGCCTGTAGAGATATGGCATGCGTAGGTTTTCTGATGCGTTTGTTCATACTGACAGAAATATGAAGGCATTTTCTTTTTCCTGCAGTATTGATAACAGTGTTCTGCCGATTTTCCTAATGAGTGCTTTTTTGGCCTACGTTATTTATTTTTTGTACTGGTACATTTTTACTATATCTTTTGTCAAATTGAGTATGCAGTACTTCAGCGGGGGAAAGGGAGCCCTTAAGCTCTGTATTGCTTTTCGCTTACCATGCACTTTTTCACCACACAAAGTACTAGAGTTTATCTGATTTCTAAGCTGATATATAATCACTGGTATTTCTTGGCACACTTACTCAGAGGCTAATTGTAAATATTTTATTGGCAAATGGTGTATAATTTATTTTGCCATTGTATTTGTTGTCCAAGGTAATCAGAAGAACATAAAAGCTCTCTGGTTTCCTATTTGAGAAGTGTTTGAATGACTATGACTAAAGCTTTGCTTTATTCTCAAGCTTTATAAAAGTTGTACAAATGCGTAAGACTAATAATTAAACTGGAAGAAAACATTGAGTACTATTTTGCATGGCTACCATTTTAAAAGGTTGTTTTCTTTCCCTAAGATCTTGGTTTTTTCCTGTATAAAATTACCCCACTGTTCTTGTAAGCCTGAATTTCTGATAAACCACTGGGTAAAATATAAGTCCTGTTTTTAGCCATGTTTCAGGTAAGAATGAAAATAAATTTGGGGTTCCTTGGAAGCTTACTTAGAGGCTTCTCAATGAGATTATAATTAATGGCAGAAAGTTTAAAAGAAAGGTAGACCACTGCTGTCAATCTTAATTTGGGATCTGGAGTTTCAGTGGACAGTTGGGTGTCTTCCAAGAAATACTCTCAATTGATACATGGAATCTCTGTATCTTGCACTGAGTTCTAGGGCATGTGCAGTGTTCATTAGCTGTGGCCTTTGTAGTATTATTTTTTTAGCTCTCTCAAAACCCTGCGTCACAAGAAAGGAGGCAGAGAGTTCCAGCTTCATGTCAGCAGATTGCTTTTTATGTTTCCATGAGTTTGGGGTCATGTCTTCCAAAATTGTCTTGAGGGATTCTGATACATGCTTAAAAATTGTTTTTAACTAAAAAAGCAGAACTAGTCTAAGGGCTTCGGCTTTAATGGGCATTATAGTGGTACCTCAGGTTACATACGCTTCAGGTTACAGACTCCGCTAACCCAGAAATAGTGTTTCAGGTTAAGAACTTTGCTTCAGGATGAGAACAGAAATTGTGCTCCGGCGGCGCGGCGGCAGCAGAAGGCCCCATTAGCTAAAGTGGTGCTTCAGGTTAAGAACAGTTTCAGGTTAAGTACAGACCTCCGGAACGAATTAAGTACTTAACCTGAGGTACCGCTGTACTCCATTTTGTTGGCTTGATTTCAGTAGGCTGTGAGAAGGAAATATATATAAGCCCCAAAGGGAAGCTCACGTAGCCTGACAATACAGTTGTTATATGTAGAGCAGAAGGTGAGAGTCTCTTGTGGTGTATCTCCCTGAGCAAAAAAATCTCCATTTCATGCAGCTTTCTTGAAGGCAACAGCAACCATGGTTGCTGGGCAGTGCTGTGACAATTCGGCTCCTGGTATGTTGTCTTTTACAAATGGAATTATTTGCAATTATATCAGGTGTTGTGGAAAGTTGTCCACATCACATGGGGAGAAAGGAAAGCTCAGAAGGCAACTTGAAAACAAGTCATGGGTTGCAGTGTAGTTGTTTACTTGGCTTCCCCCTTTCAGAGATAATAATGTAGGACAGCACCACAGGGAGCAGACATTTTTCTAAACCTCAAAAACAAAATTAAAATGCACAAAGTTCATTTTGTTATTTGTTTTGTGTTCCTTCAGTTTTTTAAAAGAGCCTTCACTTGATTATTAGGCATATACATTTTGTTTTTTGTTTTGTTATTTTAGAGAGCCCCCTTGCACTTGTTTTCTTTGCTCCAGAACACATGCTTATGTTTTAGGCTGGCATTCCTGATCTTGTGAAAAATGAATGGTTTTATTTTTAGAGAGGGTAACACATCATCATTTCTCCATAGCATGTAGCTTGATAATAATTCTTGGCACTGTCCTGAGGTTCCTTGAGATCCGGAGGAAGCAGCTGGTCACAGTACACAATATAAATTAAGCAAATGAGGCAATTTGGTAGTGGGGACACAACTGGGATTCCTGTGATATGTGATGCTCAGGGTGACCTCATAGACTATGCCCAGTGGGAACAGACCTGCTAGTTCTTTCCTGTATGCCTTATTCCTGTCTCTGTATTATCTGAACGCACCTGATTTCCATTACTCTTAATACAAGCCCAGCCTACAAATTCATGCTTAATTTTTAAAATTCCTTTCCTGCTTCTCTTTTGCTGGCCATTGCCTCTGTACCAGAGCTTTTTCTCCTCCTCGGCTGTTGCATGCCATCCTTTTTATGCCTTTCCCTTATATATCTGGTGTTTCCTTGGGGAAAGATGCAAACTACCTTGGATCTGGGACGCGGGTGGCGCTGTGGGTTAAACCACAGAGCCTAGGACTTGCCGATCAGAAGGTCAGCGGTTCGAATCCCTGTGACGGGGTGAGCTCCCGTTGCTCGGTCCCTGCTCCTGCCAACCTAGCAATTCGAAAGCACGTCAAGTGCAAATAGATAAATAGGTACCGCTCCAGCGGGAAGGTAAATGGTGTTTCCGTGTGCTGCTGTGGTTTGCCAGGAGCAGCTTAGTCATGCTGGCCACATGACCGGGAGGTGTACGCCGGCTCCCTCGGCCAATAAAGCGAGATGAGCACCGCAACCCCAGAGTCAGTCACGACTGGACCTAATGGTCAGGGTTCCCTTTACCTTTACCTTTACCTTGGACCTACCTTGTCCTGGCAGCCTCAAGGCTGACTGTTAACCCAGGTGTGTTTCCAGCACTTTAAGCATTTCCCTGCCAGTCC